TTTTTTTTTTAACTGAAAAGCGTTCGAAAGCCTCAAAATTTGTGGGAAATATCCCTCGACTTCCAGGTTTTACGAACTTAATGGCATTGGCCTAAAATTTATTATTTATTTCATATTAAATCTGCAGTACAAAGTACCTTACAGACTAGCAAAAAATTAACAATAAATGCTTATTGAATAATCGCATTTAAAATCCTCACAGCAGATCCAGATAGCGAAAAGTCAAGAACTTAGATTAATTAGCAACAGGTGTGAATGGTAGGATGGAACCGGATCCTCGAAACCGCAATGATCTCAATGCATGTTTTAGACAAATTTTTTTAACCCTTTCAATCCTATTTATCGAATGTTGTTCATATGGTCTTCAGATAATTACCGCGTGTTCCAAGTGAGAGCGTACGAGAGACGAAAAAAGAAGCGTAGAGATGTAAGTATCAGAAAACTCGGACGTACATATTACGTCATATAAAAACCCAGTACCGAGTGTGCTTTGGAAAGAATAAAATTAATGTAACTATTAAATGAAAACTTTGCTCAAGAACTGCTCCAAAATCTTTAGTCTATGTAACCTTACTTAGGACAAAGTTAGCAATTGAGTATAACTACGTAGATTTTATTGTAACTTCAATTTTATCTTTGCTGCAAATTTTCTACATTTACCTGGTGTAGGTGAGCGAACAACGTGGTTCTGCATAGACTGATACAACAGTAACAAAGAAGTTGAATACAAGTACATATGTTTATACATACGTATATAGATAGATGCATATCGCACACCGTCTTCAAAAGAGTCACAACTCAAAAATCAGATCCGGAAATATAACTGCTTGTGGATGGTTCAGATTCAACGTAATCGATATAAAACAGGTATAACAGTAGTTTTTTTAGTTTAATGTATACTTATGTACATGCAGAAAAAATAACTGCATTAATTAGAGATACGAATAGATTTATGCGAAAAAATTGGCCAACATTTTTTTTTTTTTGAGTTGTGCCCCTTTTGAAGTGGGTGCGCGAAATGTGTGTAGATATGTACATAGTAAGTAATTAAAAATAGTAGTGTAGGTTTACACATATGTATGTATGTATATCAGTACGTATACAAAAGCATTTACAGAAGTTTATTTAAAATTTTTAATTTCCTATGTATGTACATAAGTACTTTTGTTACCCCAAGTTATTTATTTTCTTTTCTCACTAACTACGTAACTAAAAGTGAAAAAATATAATAGTTGTTCCCATACACGTAGTCTATCAAGCTATTTTGAAAACATTTAGTTTGTAGAAGTTGGAATGTTTATTTAACTTCCGCTCTACGTTAAGTACGGGTAAACAAATGAAGTATGAAAAAATATTTATATTAGATGAACCAAAAAACAAACGTTCGTCAATAAGCAGCAGCCTTAGGTTATACAAAATTTCAAGGCTCAAAAACAGCTTAAGCAGTTGTAAAAGTATGTAACGGGTGATTTTTTTGATTTCAGACATGGTGTCAAAGAGAAAGATGCTCAGTATGCTTTGACATTTCATCATGAATAGACTTACTAACGAGCAACGCTTGCAANAAATTTTTAATTTCCTATGTATGTATGTACTTTTGTTACCCCAAGTTATTTATTTTCTTTTCTCACTAACTACGTAACTAAAAGTGAAAAAATATAATAGTTGTTCCCATACACGTAGAGTATCAAGCTATTTTGAAAACATTTAGTTTGTAGAAGTTGGAATGTTTATTTAACTTCCGCTCTACGTTAAGTACAGGTAAACAAATGAAGTATGAAAAAATATTTATATTAGATGAACCAAAAAACAAACGTTCCTCAATAAGCAGCAGCCTTAGGTTATACAAAATTTCAAGGCTCAAAAACAGCTTAAGCAGTTGTAAAAGTATGTATAATTCGCCAAAACTGTTTCGTAGAATGTTCCTGGTGTGACAGTAGTTGGCCAGATATAAAATCTTGGTCGTTCAGATTGCGTACACCCAACTTATGTGGGAACGAGAAAAAGAAGTTAGAAGTAGTGTTATGGGTAAAGTAATTTATCACAGTTTGCTTAGGTCTCTCTTATCAAATGCGAGACATTGGCTGATAAGCTTATTTTTGCACAGAGCGTGCCTACAAATGACTAAAATAATTATTTCTTAATTTGCTATATTAGCAATTGTGAATATGCACAGAGTTTATATACATACATATGTACTATATAAATCAGAGTATGCAAAGTGGCCTAAAAATGTTTAATTTTTATGATAAAAAAAAACGAAAAATGCTGAATGCTGCTCAAGGGATTTTCGTATTAGGTCAATACCGAAACGGTTACTTGACTGCCATGCAACCAAAGTAAAAACACACATTGCTTTCATTATTAAATTACNATGAATATGCACAGAGTTTATATACATATGTACTATATAAATCAGAGTATGCAAAGTGGCCTAAAAATGTTTAATTTTTATGATAAAAAAAACGAAAAATGCTGAATGCTGCTCAAGGGATTTTCGTATTAGGTCAATACCGAAACGGTTACTTGGCTGCCATGCAACCAAAGTAAAAACACACATTGCTTTCATTATTAAATTACTGCAAAACACTTTATTGTAATATCATGTTTTTGAAAAATTTACAAAATCACATATAATCATTTGCATGGTATTATTAAAGTAAATCGTTTTTTTTTTTTTATAATATTATATTATTTTTCCTTAAATCAATAGCAAAGTTACATACCTACATTACTCATAGATGAGCTAGTGACTATGACACTTTTGTTGCATGCATATTTTTATACACCTACAACTTATTCAAAACTAAACTGCTTACTTACTCGAAATTGGAACATAAAAATTCACATATGTACGATCATATAACTATGGCTTTGGCAATTTTTTAAAAACTAAATTCAATATATGTACATACAGTTGCGTACATGACTACGAGTACATATGCGTGTACGAAATATTGTAAAAATAGGCATGCATATAATGCCTTGTCTTAATTTAGTATTTTGATTTATTTCACTCTTACTTCACTTATAGAATTCACTGATTCATGAATTTTTAGAAATAGGTACCTACGCTACTACGCTAATATCTACATACAAGTACATTTTTTGTTAGCATACTACACAGCTACTCCTCTAGTGGTTGGTATCAACAGTTCCTTATCAGGTGCTTGCTTCCGTCTGAATGTAATATACGTGTAAAGTAAACTAGCAAACACGCTGATATTAATTCCGATACAGTTAAGCCACGAGAAGATGTAGTCACCGCCAATGAACATGCCTAAATATGTTACACATATGTTTTTTAAGCATCCGACAATTGTTGTTGTTAGCGCAGAATTATGTTGTGTGCAAAGTATAGTGCTGTAGGATAATATGAAGCCCATGAAGCAGCTCATTAGAAATTGTACCACAAAATAGGGATTTTGCCATTGGTTGTAGGCGAGCGATTTTTCAAGGTCACCAGTAAGATAAGTAACGACCAGTGCCGGTATGAACATAAATAGTGAATTGTAGAACATTAAGCCATATTTTCCTATTTCTGAAGTATCCAGCTTTTTCTTGACAAATACTCCATTCGATGCAGTAAGTGCATTGGTTATCATCACAAATGTATAACCTTTCATGTTAAATGAAAGATCATCGGAAGCTGCCAGTAAGGCACCAGCAATCATGGCGTATACGCTGACTTGCACAGCGAAGGAGGGCCTTACTCCAAGTATTTTCAATTCTAGTAACATCGTCATTAATATTGAAAAGCGACGCAGTGCGGCGAACATGGGTAAGCTTAGTTCCTTTGTGCCACCTAAGCCAAACATCATGTTTCCGAGAAAAATCAGTGGTAGTGGGAAAATTTTTATAAATGTATTCCGCTTTAATGGTGGATATGAAACGAAACGTAATCGTCGGCCAACGCCAAGTACAACTATACTGGCCAACAACTGTCCCAAGCTGAGAAACAGGAACGAAGGAAAGAGATATGATGTAAGCACAGTCTTGTTGACAACGGTTATCATGAATGAGGCCATGCCATAGAACAAAGCACTGCCGACTTTCTTGAAGAACAACGTGCCATCATCATGCTGACGCTGCTCCTTTGAATTGAGGCTTGTTGTGCTATCATTGCTTCTGCTGTTCGATAGCTCAATTGCAATACTTTTGTCCTCACTGCTGTGTGAGGCCATCGTAAGGAGGATTCAGTGTGAAAGTTAGTTGCTTTGTGCAATATTGCTGTAATTACTATTGGAATACAGGTTGTTTTTTTCACACTAACTTTCACTTACTACCCGATTAAGGCTTTGAAACTATAACATGACTGTCCGTTTAATATACCAGCATTCTTGATAAACAAATGTATTCACTTTTTCTGGCGTTATAATTTAGATAAGCAATTTAACTACACACCCACTAAAAAATACGTAAATGGCCATTTTGACAGTCGCGATCAGACTGAATTCACAGCTGACAGCGAATGCTGATAGAAGCTGTCACAAAAGTTGAAGCAACAAGAAAAACAAACAAAAGTAATACAAACAATGCCGAAATTATAACAAACAAACAATGCTAACTTATATAAATAAAACGAAGTAAAGACTAACTTACCGAATATTAATTTTTAATTATCAATTTCGCTTGTAGTAAAAACGAATAACTTTTAAAACAAATTAGCACTAGTTGACAAATCACATCGAGCACGGATCAGCTGTTTTACAAGTACAGAGTTGTTAAACAGACTTGCATAGAGTGCATGGATTAATTTTATCGTTTTTTAAATAAAATAAACATATATTTTTTACAAACACAGCTATATACCAAATTATTGGAACAAGTGCAGTATAGCGGCCATTGAGGAAAAATTAAAAATAAAAAGTGGATGTGGTCCGCCCCTTTTAACCGATTTTAAAGGTGTTATCCATTTATGGTGTAAATTAATAGGAGAGCTAAAGGGGGCTAAATTTGGAATTTTCAATATTTTCAAAAGCTTATATATCGAAAACTATCGCAACGATTTAGTGTAAAAGATAATTGGAAAGACTCTTATTCGATATGCATATCTATGTATATATTATAAACATATTTCGTAAAAACTAAAAAACGAAATTATAAAAATTTTATTAATAATGTACGTTTTTCTAAGAAATTTTCCAAGAAAAAATACGTTATGAACTATATGCAAAAATACTATTTTTAAAAAGTGCTAAAAATTCCTTTAATTTGGTTTATGCTATTTTGCAAAAATTCTTTTGCGTAGACGGCCTTTCGCCGCGCTTAAGAATTATAACCCTTACTACTCAGCATTCTCCTTTGTGTTGCCAGGAAAAAAGGGCAGAACTTCTTTCTGTGTAGGCGGCCTTCGGCTCCATTCAGGGATTAAAACCCTCACGAAGTAGAATTCTCCTTTCTGTGTTGCCGAAATATATCAGTTTAAAGGTATTTATGAACTCCTAATAAACATATAACTTAGTATAGTTATTTACGCTTTTTTTTAAACGTACCTTTTTATTAAAAAAATGGTTGTAGTTTCGTTTTATAGTTTTTCTCGATATATGTACACAAAATATATAAAGATTGCACATTAAATAAAAGGTCAATTACCTTTCCAACTATACCCAGTTTTTGAAAATCGGTGAAATATTTTTGGAAATATAAGCTTTTGAAAATATTGAAAATTCCACATTTATCGCTGGTTATCGAAGATCGATAGTGAAATTCGTATGATGAGCTATGCAACCGTGTTGAAATTTTCGTTGAGTATCGAATTTTCTGTCGAACAGAATTTTACTGTCGATGGTGTAGCGAAGTGTTTAAGGACACTATTTAGTTAGCTCGATTTGTAAGTAAAGCTTTTCAGCGGTGAAAAATATACCATTGTAAACAACCTAAACGACCGAAATTCACAATAGCGCAATAAAAAGAACTATTTGAAATCAAATTCGAGGCCATGGGCGATTAATATTAGGAATAACACGGAGGAAAAACTCCGAAGCAAAATTTGTCTTAGTATCGGGTTTCGATACGAGTATGCTCTTTAGATACCTATTCAGTATTTTAGTTCAAAAGTATCGATACCAAAATTACTTGGTATCGAACGAAAAGTATCGGGTATGTTCTTGTATTTGCTCGTATCGGTACATCCCTATAAACAACAGCTGATTTGTGTAAAATTCATTCCGGGACGTGCATTTTATTCATTTGATTGTGTTTACTGAAATATCTTATTTAAAATGAGTAAGATCAAGAAAAAGACTAAACCCGGTAAGATTCCGAAACCCATTAAGGTTAAGAAAGAAAAAACTGAAGAAGATCGCACGCTTCACCCAATGTCTCACTACATAGACGACCGACTGGAATTGGTGAAACAAATCTTTGGATCGCTGAAGCCGAAAACAATTACAAACTTAGCACCAGATTTTCTAAAGGTTTGGATAAAATTAATAACCTCTCATATGTATTAATCACGCAAATTTGAATCATAATTAGCACAAAAGCATGGACGAAATTGAAGAGCTCTGCTTGAACGAATTGCTTGGCATATCAACAAAGCGATTATTATCCATTATAAATGCCACTAAGTGCCCCACTGACACAGAATCCTCGGGCGAATCAGATGTTGAGCATCAAGAGGGTAAGAATATTAAGACATTGGAGTAGTAATTCGGATTTAAATAAATGTAAATTGTAGAGCACATCTCGCTTGAAGAGATTTCTTCGGACAGTGAAATCGAAGGCTCATCTAATGCAGGTAAGCTTAATGATTTCTTCCCAACTAATACTTTTCTAAATTATAAAATTGTTACGCAAAAGTTCTTATTCTGTACTTTTATCATTTGAGCCGGTTAGATCTCTTACGGTATAATTTATCGTACATTTTTGTAATTTCATGCACAAGTTTACTAAATTACGTATGTAAGACATTTATAAAATATGTAGGTTTAAAATTTCATAGAATTTAATTATTCAACCTACTATTTTCGCACTCAAGCGTATTTAAATTTTTCGGCAATCGGCGCTGGTGGTAGATAAAACGCGCGGAGTATAACCACGTCTTCAATAACACCAAATTCCACATCATCTTCATTTTCCTTGCAAACATCCAGCGTAATTACGAAGTCTCCAGTTTCCAATAAACCACTACACCGCCCATATTCAATGCCATATTCTACAGGGCAAAGATTGTTTGGATTCATATCTTTTGCATAAAGAATTCCACGCAAATTTCTTCGCAAATTCAGCACCTTTGCTAATTTCAGTTTGCATTGAAACTCTTTCTCCTCCATATCATCAAATGGCAACATCATGAGAACAGGACAGTAAATTTCCACACGTCCAAATGCAACGGCAGCAGTTTCGCACTTACTGTGCACCACAATCGCCTGACACTCTACTGAGCTAATAGTGCGTATTATAAAATTAACTATGCTCTGATAAGAAGACAATATATTCTTTAACGCCATTGTATTCTCTACAACTGCTCTGTGGAAATCCTTTAGGGGCAACAATTTCTTCACGATCAGTGGATATTTGTTACACCAAGGACTCTTTTGTATAAACATAGTGTCTATGCGCCATAGAAAATCATGATTTTCAAATCGTTTAAAATCATTACAACGTTCAAGTGGTATTGTGCCTATTATGGGCTTCCTTAAACACTTCGCCAACGGTATTAAATCGTTAAATATGTGTTTTTGCATTGATGCGGTAGCACTAAACATATCTTGTATCCAAACATAATCGAGTAACTTAACTATGCCCATCAAGTCGAGCATCTTAGAACAGGCGAATTGTAGATCTATTGTGCCGATCAATTTAAAATCAAATTCATCTTTGAGACTTGCACGCAAAGTACGTAGGAATGGTTTGCACCGAATGCATGGCAAAACAATAAAGTCGGCCTTCGCTTGAGCCGCTAATTGCAAATCGTCCATAAAGAGATCAGGGAACGTTTCATTTGGCAGGGCATAACATTGATTCGGTAATTCAATGTATTCGTATGAATTGATTATACCAGCATCTTCAATGATAATTGTCGCATTGTTTTTAAGTTTCTTCACAATCTTTCCCTTCACCTCGTTACCCAGCAGCAATACATCGCCAAGCTTTAAGGCTTTAAAGTAATATTTCAAATTTAGTACATATGCAATTTCACGGTAACTAGAATAACGGTACGATTCGTCAAGCGTCAATGTCATAACGGCGCTACGATGTAGCAGCACCGAGCAATTGTTGCGTAAACGTCCTATTCGGCAGCAGTCACCCTGCAATTGTAAAGCTATGCCGATTGGTAGACGTATTCTAGGCTCTTCCGCTTGTAACTCATCAATTATAGTCTTCGCGCGTATCAGAATCTGTTCGAATTCGTTGCGTCTACATGTGACTGTATCGATAAGGAATGTGCGTGCACCATTCTTCAAGAGACTCTTTAGTTCATCGTCCGTGGTCTCCATAACAATGCGCGCCATCAGGCCAATGTTGTAGTAGCGACGCTTGCAACGCTTACGTGCATGGCGCTCATGCTCATCGCATGCTTTCTTGAACTCTTCCAAGCGCTTCATAAAGTTTTGATTATCATTTAAGAGCACCTTGAATTCACGCTCATTGTTTTCCTCTTCTTGACTGTCTAACGAGGTAGCCTGATCGCCCGCTGCGTTGGTGAATTCCATTTCTTTTTTCGATTTAATTTGTGTATTTCAACTAAAACTTTTATACTTTTAGGAAAGAAAAAGTCCAGCGGAGCTGATGGTAAAGGTGGTGCCAAAAAGTCTGCAAAAGGTACAGCCGGAAATGATGAAAGTAAGTATCAAAATAATCGGCCAAATAATAAGTAATAAAAACTATTTCGATATCAAATGCAAATGAATGAAGGAAAAATGAAATTATTAAAAACTGATTTATAAAAGCGTTACGTTTTTACAGTGATGGAGTTAAAAATAAAGAGCAATTTTTAATAATATAATAATCACAGAATATTGTTAATGTAGATACTNTATCGGCCAAATAATAAGTAATAAAAACTATTTCGATATCAAATGCAAATAAATGAAGGAAAAATGAAATTATTAAAAACTGATTTATAAAAGCGTTACGTTTTTACAGTGATGGAGTTAAAAATAAATAGCAATTTTTAATAATATAATAATCACAGAATATTGTTAATGTAGATACTTTTGGAATGTTTATCAATATATCCAGTATTTAACGAAATATTACAATAATTCAAGATGCATAGAGGACCTTTTAATAATCTTTTACAAAATCATCATCTACAGATAATGGCCAAATAAGCGTTTTGGAATTACTGGAGTTACAAGCACGTGCGCGTGCTATTCGATCTCAATTAGCACTTGAGCCAGTGACAAAGATCGAAGTAGACTCAGACGACGAAAAGGACAGTGAAAAAAATGGTAATGAAAAATCCACTAATGGAGCAGCTTCCAAAGAGCATAAACGCAAACATAGGCGTAAATCCAGCGAGAAAAGTAAAGATGCGGAAAAGACGCAATCTACGTCTACTTCAGCTGCTGCACGGCCGCCAGCAACAGCGAAGGCAAGTAAAATAACTACCAGCTCTGCTTCGGAAACTCCCAGTACTTCAACTAAGAAGGCAAAGGCAAAGGAAGATGAAGCTCAGCCAACAAAAACAAACAAGTTGAAGAGAAATTACCGGGCGAAAAATAATGAACCCGAAACTGCAGCTAACGAAAGTAAAAAGAAGTCTAAAAACAAAGTATCAGATGCTGCACTGATGGCGATTACATTAAAAGAGGTTAAAAAAGAAGCGAGATCTCGTTCAGCTACACCGGATGTAATACCAATAATTCCGGAGCCAGAAACTTTGTTAATTAGCGATAGCTCGGATGGCGAAAATGATGAAATGAGAAAGAAGAAAAGGACACCAATTGAAAGCAATACAACAACAACTAAAAACAATAGTGATGCCAGCAAGGATATCGAAAAACCGCCAAGAGAACGAAAGTTAACTGAACCCGAAGAGGGTGAAGTTGTTGAAATCCCAGTTGAGAAGTCAACTGCAGCTAAGAGTAATGATAATAGTAAAGCTACTGAAACTCCTGCTGCCAAGCCAACTGCCGCTGCGGCTACTGAAAATAAGGAATCAGATTCGAGCGCGGAAAACATTGCAAACACTGAGGCGTCGACTGCAGAAGTGGCCAAGCCAGATAACAATGAAACTGCAGTAGTAGACAAAAAACCACTTGAAGCTGCAATAACAACTACAACAAGCGAAACAGCCACAACTACAAATTTAGTAGCCTCTACAACAACAACAACAACAAAAACAGCTACAAAAAGCGCATCAAGTACTGTTGCAGTACCAGAAGAGCAGTCCAGCATAGCACCTAGCCTCGAAGATGAGGACGATAGAAATGATGACGTTATATCATTGGAAGGTGGTGATCTCGAGGAGGAGATGATTGAACATCTGGAAGAAGATGCAAATACAAAATCATCATTTGCTGCTACATCACCGAAAAGGAAAAACTCCACTGTCCGCGAGGAACAAGATGCTGATGTAATATCGTTGGACTCGAGCGAGGAAGAAGAACGGAATACAGAAAGTTCGGAAGTGAGTTTTTCATGTTCATATACTTATATAGTATGTATGTANTCAACAACAACTATAAAAAGCACATCAACCACTGTTGCAGTACCAGAGGAGCAATCCAGCATAGCACCCAGTCTCGAAGATGAGGACGATAGAAATGATGACGTTATATCATTGGAAGGTGGTGATCTCGAGGAGGAGATGATTGAACATCTGGAAGAAGATACAAATACAAAATCATCATTTGCTGCTACATCACCGAAAAGGAAAAACTCCACAGTCCGCGAGGAACAAGATGCTGATGTAATATCGTTGGACTCGAGCGAGGAAGAAGAACGGAATACAGAGAGTTCGGAAGTGAGTTTTTCATGTTCATATACTTATATAGTATGTATGTATTTATAATATTATATATACATAGATATGAACATATTTATTATGGTAAACCTAATATATTGTTTTTGCATTCTTTCTAGTCATGGCATTCGCGCTATTTGAAGAGTTCCAAAGTGAGCAAAGTTTTGGCTACATCTCGTTTAGGTAAACGTCTACGTGACAACATTAAAAAATCTAAGCGTTCCAAAAAAGATACGGAACGTGAAAAGGCGCCTGAAGAGAAGGAAAAAGCGAGTACAAGTTTCGCTTCTAAACACGAAGATGGCTCTATTGAGCAATACAAGGAGTTGTTGGCATTGCGACAGCGTAAAAAACAATAACATAGCAAATGTGGAAGTAGTTTGAACTTGCACATACATACATACACACATACATATAGGTATGTATGTACAAACATATAAACCGAAAGCGGTAGTATTTTCACTACCAATATTAATATTCAAGCATATACACAAAAAAAATAAAAACAAATAGTTATACACCTAGATACGTACATATTTATGCATAATTGTATAAAATCGATACATTTAATAAAAACTAAAATGCAAAACTTTGAATTCCATTGTATTTTGCGTGCATAGTCAGAATCTAGGTTTTCCACCCCTAAATCACCTGCACCATAACGGTAACACAACACAACAATTATGCCTTAGCCATAAATTTTCTTCAGTTTTGTGATTATTTACATCTACTTCACCATCTCCTTCCTAGCTTTTCAGTATTGCAAATCATTTTTCGCTTTGGGGGAGCTATAACGAAAACCATTACTAATTTTTTTTTTTGTGGTATTCAAAACTATAAAAGTAAAACGCACAAAAATTTGAATATTTCGTGCCAAGCACAAATTTAAGTGAAATTTAAAAAGCCAAAGCAACGCAATGGCACTTTGACAAAAAGGCTGCAACTTAGCATGGGTAAAGTTGGTAAAGACACACTTTGCATTGCGTACTTTGCCCAACAATTTCCGGAATTCATTTAAATACCATTTGACTTAGAAAAAAACACAGTTACAAATGCTATATGCCTTCCGTACGTTGATACGCTGAGCCCTTATGGTATGTACATATGTACAAATAGTACATACATACATACGACGCATAGAGACCGTGAAGAACTAAGTTTGGTGGTATAAAAAATAATTAGCGATTTCTGAAGTTTTAAGCTATTTTTACAGCACTTCGGTTTTTGTTAAAGTAACAGCAATACATACATATATTTGGCGCTTACACAATTTATCAAGCCAGAAACGCACTCGGGGGTTTGCCATTGCCTGCCGCGGGGCGCCCGCTATTAAGAATAAACCTATTTTTGTAATGTTGCTTTGACCCGGGATCGAACCTTGGTCTTATGAAGTGGTCACTGAAATTGAGCTTGGTTAGGTTAATGTGTAGTGGCGCGTCGCCATCATCAATATTCTGAAGGAGGCACAATTAGATCCGAAGGGTTAATTGCGATACTGCTTCGGCTTGCTGCCGACCCTATTCCTAGAAATATACCATATTTCTTATATGACACTACAGCCGCTTGACGGTTTGGGTCGATACTAAAAAACTTGACCTCTTTTTTCGATGCCGCCCCAGTTATTCACACTATGTATTGTATTCCTTGTTGTTGTTGTATGGGCTGCTTAACCCTGCCTAGACCGGATAGTCTTTCAACATGGAGTTTGGAGGGGTGGTTCTATTTTAGTTGGGTTCAGTGTAAAGGTGGTTGGTGTCTCGCGCCAATTGAAGCTCACTTTTTGCCCACAGGTCGTCATTGGACATCGTAAATGCCGTTTTAGCCTAGTGCTGGACCTCGTCCTCCAACTTTTCTTTGTTGGAAATCGCGGTTGTGTGCGCCGAGAAAGAGAGAACTTTCGGGTTGTTCACCATCGGAACTAGTTCGCGGGGACATGACCTTCTTCCGCCAGTGGTGGAAATGGTTGCCGAGGATTTCATTATCAATTCCCATGCCGGACGCCATTCAGCGTATGGGATGATGGATATTCCGTCTGGTGGTTGGGCGAGTTTCACCTTGTGGAACGCCTTGTTTAATATTCCTGGGCTTGGACGTTTTATCTGGAAAAATAACTGACGAGCTCGTGCATCGCTCGGGTTCCGATGAGGACCGATTTTCGAATGAAATTTTCGCTCTGTCATCGCGCTTCGAGGCGAAGTTGCAGGTCTTCAGGAGCTTTCCCTACTTATTCCCCTCATACTGGTTTACCAATTGCCGAGTCTCCGCATTGAAATCCCGGATTCCCGGGATCTGCCTGGTGATGGTGGTCACGCATTTCAGCAATGCATGCAGCAGGAATGAAGCGGACTGCCAGCAAGAACGCCTGCTGGTGTAGGTAGGACAGCGAAGGTGCTCTCAGTAACTTCCGCAAAGACGTTCCAAAGTAAAGTCGGCGGGCTTATTGCTCGAGATGGTCCGATGCTGACGCCAGCTTAGGACGTCACGTTATGCTGTTTATCAGACCAACGCCAACTTTTGTTAAGTCGGGGGAGCTTCTGCAGGTGCACATAATTCTGGTGTAGGAGCGTCGCTATTCATTGTGCCGAATGTCGAATCGTCTATCCATCGGCGTAGCCAGAATGAAATTTAGGGGGGGGGGGGCTCGACCCTAT